CGGTTATACTTAATGAAAAAATGTTTTATTATAGTGTTTTGGAAAGCTGTCGAGATAAGCTATAAAAATGTGCAATAAAATGTAGGGAGTTCCATTAAAAAAAATAAGGTTGACCTTGAAATGACCTTAAAGGACATGGTCAAGATCAAAGTCAAGGTCATCATCTTACTCCTCGCTTGAAACCATACAACTTTGCTATTGGACATTTTCTCTAAAATGCATTCTAACTGAAGATATTAGAGGGGTCCGATACTTTTCGATGACCCTGTAATCGGTGAATACTTACATCCATTTTTACGTCCGTATTTTCTGTGTTTTTCTTATTCTCCGCCATATTGTTTTTCTGCGTTCTTTGTTTTTAATATGCAATCTTGATTGAGATTTATCATCGTATACATGTAATGATATGATTTGGCGACTCTCTGATTATAGGCTTTCAAGAATGATCGATCATGCGGTCGAATCGTGCATCTTGAAATGAGGTGAAAATTGTACCAAAAGTGATCAAACGTCACTAGGTATTGACTAATTAAAGACGAATATTCTAAAGAATTTGCTCACTTTTTTAATTTTCGCCACATTTCAAGATACATAATCAACTCCCAGAATATCAATCATGAAACTTTTTTCCTAAGATGAAAAGTGAAAAGAGAAAAATTTTTCCATCAATTTCAATGGTTAAAATTTTCATTTTTCACTTTTCACCATCCTAGAGACAAAGTTTCATTATAGATACCTTGGGAGTCGATTGTGTATTTTGATATGAGGTGAAAATTACAAAAGTGAACAAATTCATTAGATATTATAATTTTCAAAATTATCTGGATTATCTTATGCACATTCTGTGTGTATTTAGGTTAAATACGAGGAAATCGAATACTGAGAAATACGTAACATAATTCATTTTTCAATTCATATTTTTGAATTGAACTAAATAATATAGTAATAACTTGTATTTTTCGTCATGACAATATTAAAATTATTTTTAATTAGTTTATTTTTATTTCTGTCTCATTATTTGTATATATTTTCATTCATCTCTTTATTCATCTAAATCAGACTTGTCCAATTTGAGCTCCTATTTATTTACATTATATAGTGTAAACTACAAGATGCCACTATTAGTGCATCCCGTACATTAAATTCAATTTTAGTAAAATTATTAATTAAACATATTATTGTGCATGTTCTGACGCTCGACTATTGAAGCTGCCATATAAAGGCACCTTTATATTCAAGACCGTTTTAAGTACAGTCTTAAGAATCGATTCAATCATAGGGCTGTATTAGCGTCTTACGACGTTACTTAAGGCGTCGTCTACAATACACGGAGTAAGAAGTAAGAGTAAGAAATTGACCAATCACAGTCGAATGTGAGAAGAATAATCGACTGTGATTGGTCAATTTCTTACTCTTACTTCTTACTCCATGTATTGTAGACGACGCCTAAGACAGTCTTGAAATAAGAACGGACTATGAATACTGTCCAATGACGCATTTTCTATTCCGTAGTTCTTTTTCGCACCGTGGAGAGAGAATTTCACACCTTAAGCCCGGATCCTCACACGGGCAACAGCGCTTTGACACCGAACATTGGTGAAAAACGGGTGATAGTGGTAAATTTTACCCCCACAACCGGCTTTTCACCAATCAACGCTCTGTGTCAAAGCGCTGTTGTCTATATGAGGATCCGGGCTAAGGAGAATGTGTGAATGAATTTGGGTGCGGTCCACTTGACGTTGCAAATGCTTCGAAACTTTCGATTGACCAATCGGAAAAAAGAATTTTACTAACTGACCAATCAAAAAATGCTTCGAAGCATTCGTAGCATCAAGTGGACCATAGCCTTTATCATTATTTAACATGGCGCTGCATTTAAACGTGGCGACGACGTAGACAGTACAAGTTTGTGTACATATTACATATAAACAGCGTAAAAAGTACCAATCATCGGAATATACAGTGTGAAAACTGTGTTTCTGTTTAAGGAACAGAATTTAAATAAAATTGGCATTTAGGGACCGTTCTGAGAAAATCTGCTGTAAGTAATATATCTTACATATCTTGTTAGTTAAAATATATATATTTGTTCAGATTTCTATTTAATTCTAACGACTCATATATTTGGAGACACGGTATAGTGTCTCGGCGCTAACCCGAGCGCATACATAATATATTTTTTTATTTTACTTTTGGCTCTGTCTTTATTTCGAATATATAACCTGCTTATCTATGTACAAAGTAAATATTTTAGTTTACTTAAATATTTTAATTGATGGCATTGATTGTTTTCTATTTTAATCAGTCAGTATATTATTTGTATTTTAATCGTGGTTGTACATATAAATAAAAATTATTCTATATTATTGTATTACATAAATATCTTTCTCTTTTTGCAGATTTCAAGAAAGGATAAAACACATATATGTGTGTTATATGTATATATATATATATATATATATATATATACAGGGTGTACATAAAGTACCGGGACGGTTAAATAACTTTTAGAAAAATTAAAATTTCGAAAAACGCTGAAACACGTCAAACGAGTTTTCAAAAAATCTATCTTTTGCGGGGGGTTGCAGCCCCCCAACCCCAAGGGGGTGCGGGGGGCGTGAGGGGGAAATAAATTCTTAAATGGGAAGGGGGGTCGAGTGGGAGCTCGTTTGA